CTTTCCGGCACTCTCTCTCTCTCTCTCTCTCTCTCTCTCTCTCTCTCTCTCTCTCTCTCTCTCTCTCTCTCTCTCTCTCTCTCTCTCTCTCTCTCTCTCTCTCTCTCTCTCTCTCTCTCTCTCGAGTACGTTCTTGGAAAATTTCTAAAAACAGCAGACCAAGATTGCCTAAGACCGCAGCCGCCTACAAGAGGTTTCCACATGATTACAAGTCCCACAGAGTCTGCGTACATCTTTATACAGCCCTTGTTTCACTCCAGCCTTTCATTCTGGGTAACCGAGACTCCCAAATAGGCAGAAAAATGAAAAATGGGTATTCGCGACGAAAAAGAAAATAGAAGGTAAAAGATTTCCAGCAAATCACAAAAAACGTAAGGGGCGTACCTTAACCTAAATATTGATAATGATAAAACAAAAATGACTCTCCGTTGCTTTGTTGCGAATGCTGGCGTTTACAAAAATAAAACAACTCTTCGGGAATAATTTATGATAACAGACATATAAATCCATTAATCGTGAGACTCTTACGAGCTCCTTCACTACTAGAAGTGGTGAGGAAGGTGAGGGTGAAGGTGTTTGTGAAGAGGTTTTGCGTTGAGTCAGGGAGATCTATTGGAAGGTTGAGGGAGCAACCACGTGAAGAGGTTTTGCGTTGATCAGGGAGATAGATCTATTGGAAGGTTGAGGGAGCAACTGCGTGGTGTCGATGGTTGCAGCATAATGAAGCAAGATGAACAATTCCTGGAATGAGAGAGTGATGTCTCTCTTCTCCCGAAAGTCATATCCGACTGTCATCCAAAGAGCATCATCATCCATGTCATGTAAGTCCAATAAAGCAACCAAATCATTTGTATTTCACCCCATTTTGCTGTGCCATGTCGAATTGCAAAATCAAACACTGCAATTTTTCTATAATGGCAGTAATGTCTTTATTACAGACACACACATATATATGTGTGTGTGTGTGTGTAAGACTATGCTATTACACCACTTGAAAATTTGGGATTTTTTTTTTTTTGAGTGTATCAAAACAAAACTCACGGAGAATAACCCACAAATGGTAGATAAGAGGTGATAAAGGGGAATGAAAATTGAAAAAAAAAAAGTCAACGCCTCTGCAATAACATTGGTTTCCTCAAATGAAACTCTTCCCACATATGTCCGACATGAGGAAATGCCTACTTTTTTCTTTCTCTCTCTCTCTCTCTCTCTCTCTCTCTCTCTCTCTCTCTCTCTCTCTCTCTCTCTCTCTCTCTCTCTCTCTCTCTCTCTCTCTCTCTCTTCTTTTGTTCAGGGTGTGTATGAGGCAAGTTCCTTTTACCTTCTAGGGTTAAGTGAAAAATGGAGAGATGGGCAAATAAAAGAAATGAAAGAAAATGGACAAGAACAGAATTAGCTATGTGTATTGTTAATGATCTTTCACTCTTCAGTTGAACAACGTAACTTTTTCCAGTAAAGCGGAACAACGAAACGAAGGAGAGAGAGAGAGAGAGAGAGAGAGAGAGAGAGAGAGAGAGAGAGAGAGAGAGAGAGAGAGAGAGAGAGAGAGAGAGAGAGAGAGAGAGAGAGGAAGTAAAGAAAAAAAGAGAGAATGAGAATTCAATAGATAAAAATACAAACAGAGAATCAGAGAATGTGGGAAATAGGTATTGATGTGCACACATACAAATCAAATGTTAGGCGTCATCTCTTTCAGAAACATGGGAAGTCAGGAAAGTAGGAGAGTGACGTCACAGACTGCTCATTGGCCAGTGGGTATGTCGCTGCCAGGCGCAAAAGGTGAGGTGAAACTGTCCTACACCTCAGTCTATCCATAACATTGTGGGAATCTCATCCAGGACGTATATATAATCGAATGACTTCTCCCTCTCTCTCTCAATCGGCAATATGAATAAATATGACCACATAACCCCCCCCCCTCTATCTCCCCTCCCACTCTCTCTCCCTCCTTTTTCCTCTCACTCTCTCTCCCTCCATTTGGGCTCCCTCTCTCACACTCACTCAATCAATCACTCTCTCTCTCTCTCTCGGTAATATAAATAGATATAGCCACCTATTTCCTCTCTCTTTCTTTCTCTCTCATTTCCTCTCTCCCTCTATTTCACTCACTCACTCTTTCTATTCAGTCATCAGTTTTTATGTCTCTGCATATATATTCTCCACATATTTTAATATCCCGCTGTCTTTTTCTCTCCTCGATTCATTCATTAGTTGTCTGTTACAATGAACATAGAGCTACAGCATTACAATTACCCAAATATACCAATTACCCAAACATATTTATTCTCTGCATATTTTTACTTTTCCCTGGCCTTTTTTTCTATCCTTGATTTGTTCATTAGTTGCCTGTTAGAGTGAACAATTACTTAAATATATATCAAGCGATTACATGCAAGGGATTTTGACTCTTGATAAAAACAAATGTGCTTTCATCACACTGCGCTGTTCGCGTGGTAGCAGTGTTTTCGAGCAATGTCCGAATGAAATCATATTACAAATACTTGATTTTTAAAGACTTACAGTCAAATTAATATTCACAGCTAATCTAAAACTATAATTCCTTTTTTTTAATTCATATAAGGTATATACAACATATAAAACTTTTTGTTTTCATGAAGTTATTAAGCTTTATATAGTCAACGAATTACTTTTTGGGACACAGTGTTTACGACTGGAAATGGAACAGATTTACATCGAGCTTTCATTTT